GCGTACATCTTGCGGCCTCCCTATCACTCACACCCTTCGGTGTGAGTGCTGGTGCATGAGGGTTTGGGTCGATCGCTCGACCTCAGCCTGACGTCGACCAAGCCAGTGACTGAATAACACCTGTTGAACCATGCTGAGCCGCTAATATATATATAACTATATTTATGATAGGGATTCAAGCTGGCGTCTGACTATAGGTTCTGAATGTTATGCTGGTCTGAGCGCTGCGTCGCCCATTGCCTGCTGCGTGCCTTAGTCGGCTGCGCTGGCTCGGGCGCCACCGCGCGTGCCGATGGATCTCCGGTAGTGTGCCCGGGCAAGGGCGTTTAGGGAGAAGATCTGCTGGTTATACAATTACAATGTCGTGCGCTCATGCGCAGCTCGCCCAGCCGCCTCGTTCTAATAACGAGGGCGGCAGTATCGAACCCCTGGTCTAGTCCCAGGCGGCTCAGTGAGTCAATTAGAGCTGGGGGTCTGAGGCTCTGAGCTGGGGCAAGGCCGCACAAGACCCCTGGCGCAAACTGACGAGACTACTGTACCGGACGAGACTACTGCACCACCTGGGCGAAGAGACTCCTCCTGCTACACCCAGCGCTTGAATTTCTTGCCTGGCTCGCGTCCTCCGGCAAAGCCCCCGCTTCCTCCCGCCCGCTTATAGGGTAAGCCTTAAACACAAGTACGGGATTGTACATGTCGGCGAGTCGCGGAGAGCCGAGTGTTTCTCGCAACGCTTGAATTCGGTTCGCTTACCGCGGGGTTTGGTAACGAACATGAGACTCCCGGCGGAGGATGCTTGACGTGGTCGTGCCTCCTCCCTGCAAAAACAGAATGAGAAGGTCGGGCGCAAGGGCAAAGGATTAAAGGGGGGGGGGGAAAGGCAAAAGAACATGCGTGGCCTACACTGGGCTCGAACCAGCGACTTCAAGGTTATGAATCTTGCACTCTAACCAACTGAGTTAGTAAGCCAGATTGTAGCCCTAAACGCTCCAGAGACTATAAATCTCGCCTGGCTCGCGTCCTCCGGCAAAGCCCCCGCTTCCTCCCGCCCGCTTATGGGGTTAGCCTTAAAAACAAGTACGGGATTGTACATGTCGGCGAGTCGCGGAGAGCCGAGTGTTTCTCGCAACGCTTGAATTCGGTTCGCTTACCGCGGGGTTTGGTAACGAACATGAGACTCCCGGCGGAGGATGCTTGACGTGGTCGCGCCTCCTCCCTGCAAAAACAGAATGAGAAGGTCGGGCGCAAGGGCAAAGGATTAAAGGGGGGGGGGGGGGAAAGGCAAAAGAACATGCGTGGCCTACACTGGGCTCGAACCAGCGACTTCAAGGTTATGAATCTTGCACTCTAACCAACTGAGTTAGTAAGCCAGATGTTGTCCTTGTCCAATTTAAGCAATAAGAAGGAGATAGCCAGCATTCTCTATACTATTCTCCTCTTCTGCTTTATGTTAGAATGACATTTCCTATGACAGCTCGCCTAGAGACGACGATCTTTTCAGTCCGAAGTTTCAATCGCTTCCCCGGCGCTCAACCAGACGCCGGGAAGGGAGGTGCGGGGCCAAACCGACTTAACCAAAGGGTGCCCACGTATAGGGGCCAAAGGCGCAGTACGGCGTGGCAGGCGAAGCGTCAGGCGAGGCGGTTGACGAGGCGCCCGGCGGCTGCAGCGGCGGCGGCGGCTGCAGCGGCGGCGGTGGCGGCAGCGGCGGCGGTGGCGGCGGCTGCGGCGATAGAATCATGTGTCGAGCCGTAGTACCGAAGCTGTTCCCCACTCAATTCTGCGTCGAGAGGTGCCTTCGAGGTTTGGTATATTACTACAATAGGAACGAGAAAGAATCCTATCCGGATCGTCATTAATTTTCCATAAGTTACCCTTCATCGAAGACGCGCGAATTCTGGAGCAAATCAGGGATCTCGCGTTCTCCGGCGAAGCCCCGAGATGATCCGCCTCGAGGGCGCGACAGGCGCCTTCGCGCTCATCGACGAGCTCGACAGCGACCTGATGCTGCAGGTGCTCTCCCACCTTCACGTGCCGCAGCACGTGGCACTCGTGGGCGCCGTGAATCGTCGGCTGCACGATCTCACCGCCTCGGACATGCTGTGGTCCGAGCTGTGCAAAAGGTGGGTATGCTGGTGAAGTGCTGGACGTACTCCGCTCCCTTTCATCACCACGTGGTATCCATAGCCCCAAGCCCGCCCCACCTGACCTGATTCGCTAGCTAGCTTACACGTCTGTCTGTCTTGGTGATCCTACCACCTCCTACCACCAGGCGCTGGCACAACCGGCTCGAGGAATCGGTGTGGATCGAGCAAGCGCGGGCGACAGCCTCGCGAGAGAAGCACGGGCACTGGCGAGAGCACTTTGCGCTGCGTGAGCACGAGATCACCGCTCAGTACCCGGTCTTCCAAATGGGTGGTCGCCTTCGACTCGGAATCCCGACCGGCCTCCATTTCTTCGAGCCAAGATACCGCCGGCTCGTGCAGACCGCGATGGCTAGGGACCGGCGCTTCGTCTTCGCGGTCTCTTCACCGAGCGTGGGCAGCATCGCGTACGTCTGCGAGCTGCACACCGTCACGATATATGAGGACGGCCGCGCAGACGTGAACGCGCTCCCCGTGGCCGAGTGCCAGCTGCACTTCTCGGAGTACGAGAACATCTCGCCCGTCCACCCGCCGCTGCTGTGGAGCATGGTCGAGATCCTCCCGCTCCCGTCCGCCGATCTGCTCGCGCACGTGAAGCGGGCGCAATGCTCGCTCACCGCCCAAATAGGACACCAAGCGTGGCCCCCAATGAGCTGGGAGCTGGCCTTCGGCGGTGTAGCGGACGCGGGCGGCGAGGGCGGCGAAGAGGAAGAAAACGGGAATGGCGACGATGAGCCTGGCCAAGATGGCGCCGGTGCAGGGGTTGGAGGAGTGGGTGCCAATTAGAGTAAAGACGTCTTGGTTAGTTTAGATATATATGTCAAGCTATCTGAGATCAGTGTGCATCTCGGAACTGTATATTCGAGTTTGGTTGTGGACTGCTTGCTTACATACTACGATCACAATTAAAAATCCGCACAATGGCAATAAAATTATCTGTCCATCGACATCAATAATAACTAATGCGCCCAGTCGTAACTAAATTTACCAATTTCGAAACTCAGTAACTACGTTGTCAGTCACAGACGGGCATGAAAAAAGCTGGGCATTAAAAAACTGAGCCTCATTTTTCGAGCCAGTAACGCATTGTTTGTAAGTAATGTAGCTATTGTTTGTATGTATTTTGCTAAGAAAATGAGCCGCACTCGGATTCTCTGCTTTCTTTTGTCCGTTGACTGTACATAACTTATATTTAATTTTTCAACGAGTCCCAAAAAAAGTGGGACGGTATCCGACATCCGTGTGCTCTGCTACCCTCGGCCCTAGTGTTTCTAAACGCTTGGTGAGCTGGCCGAGTCAGGGGACGGACGTTATTAAACTGTCATTAATCTAGGATTTTTCACACTCCAATGATTCACAATTAAATATTTTAGTCCACTAGTTTAGCATGTACCCCGGCCTCGCGCTGCGAGAAAAGCTGGACAATAATTTGCTGTCAAGCGCCGATTACTGCGTGCGTACATGGGGGCTGATAGGCTCCTCCCTTGAGCGGATATGGGTCGAAATTCGAATTAGTGGCGCTATTCCGCACTGAGGAGGGGGAAAAGTTGTGGGCGGGACGAAGTAGTAGACATTCTTCGCCCCTGCGCGCCAAGTACCAATAGCTGTTGTTAAATAGAGCCCTTCTCGACGGTCGTAGCCCACCTCGTGTGCCTCTCGAGTGTATCTGGGGTCGACAACATGCTAAAGGTAACTAACATTTCCGATTCTCAGCGCTCGGAAGCGATAAGAAAGTCATGGTTCCCGATGGGGCACAGAGGAGTTAGATGCAGATTCGTGAATGGGGCGGCGCCCCATTCACGAATCGGGGCGGCGCCCCATTCACGAATCTGCATCTAACTCCTCCGTGCCCAACCCGGTTCGTGAGTTACTCCGAGGGATTTTCACCAGAATTTTCCGCAATTTCCCCCCGGACTGGCCACTAATTTGGATTTCGACCCATATCATGAAAGTCACCACCCCCAACGCATGAGTATGAATATGGGGGTACGGCGCTGGTGGGTGTAGTGAAGGGGCACCATAACATAACAATTTAATTTGTACTCCGTCCATTGGGTCACTTTTAATAAGTAATACATATCTTTCGTTTAATAGCTATACGAAAATAGGTCAGTTTAACCACCGCAAGGTGACGCTAAAGCTAAACAGAGTGACGCTCAGACGCTGACACGCGGGCCTCTTGGACGCTGAAACTGCGCCCCAGGCGGTAGAAGGGGATTCATAACATAACATAACAAACAATGCTTAACTGGTTTTTCTTAATGTCCGGCTTTCTTAATGCCCGTCTATAACTGTATTTAAGATCAGCCTAAATATGTCTGTGTTCTATATACACACATATATATCACAACATTCAGAGCAGTCAGACGCCAGCTTGAATCCCTATCAGTATATATATATATATGTATATATATATATATATATATATAGCGGCTCAGCATGGTTCAACAGGTGTTGTTCACTCACTCACTTGGTCGACGTCAGACGTTAGTCCTGGTAGCAGGGATGGTTATGGTAGAGGTGAGGTTGGTGGTGAACTCGTAGCAATTGCCACAGGCTCCCCCCCCTCCCCTCCCCCCCCACACACACAATGCTCACGTCCATTTAGGTGCGCGTGCCCTGTCCGCCGCGGCCGCCGCGGCCGCCGCGGCCGCCGCGGCCACCGCGGCCGAGGAGTGCGCCCCGGTCGGCATTGTGGCTGCGCCAGTTGTCGTCACGGTACGCTCCGTCCGCGTGCGCAGGGGCGTTTTCGGGTCCGTTTGCCGAGCGGCCGGTGCGCTGGAACCAAGGTGCACCCCGGGCACCAGCGGCCGCGCGCGCAGTCTGCGTGTGCAGCGAGCGCGCACGGATTTATATAGCGGCTCAGCATGGTTCAACAGGTGTTGATCACTCACTGACTTGATCGACGTCAGACGTTAGTCCTGGCATATATATGTATAGCGGCTCAGTATGGTTCAACAGGTGTTGTTCACTCACTGACTTGGTCGACGTCAGACGTTAGTCCTGGCAGCAGGGATGGTGGTGGTAGAGGTGAGGTTGGTGGTGAACTCGTAGCAATTGCCACAGGCTCCCCCCCCCTCCCCCCCCCCAAACACAACGCTCACGTTCATTTAGGTGCGTGTGCCCTGTTCGCCGCAGCCGCCGCGGCCTCCGCGGCCCCCGCGGCAGATATGTCCGTGTTCTATATATATAGCGGCTTAGCATGGTCCAACAGGTGTTGTTCACTATGTCTGTGTTCTATAATAACGAAATTAATCGGCGGCAGTGCGCGCGACGGAGCTGTCACCACTGTCTCGCAATGTATGAAATAAATTGACATTGGCTGTGTGCTGTGCTGTATTGGCTGCATGCGAATGGCTGCCCGTATGGAGATGCTTTGTACGGTGACAACTCAACGTGCTTTAGGGCCTCAATGGAGGGCATAACGACTGCCCGATCGTCCGGGGACCGGGATGAAGATTTTGTGTGCACGATGGGGAGGGCTTTATTGTAAATGTGGGCGTGTGACTGTGCTCCGTTAGTCCGTGATTGACTTTGTGCCAAGGGAGACTGGGGCGGGGCTGTGGGCGGGGGGAGTCCGGAAGGCACGTCCCGCAACAGATGGACTCACGGAGTCCGTCCAGCAAGAGACAGACGGGCCCTGGGAGGGCTGCCGGAAGTCCGGGAAGGCGTGTGCGAGACCAGGAAGAGCCCAGGGCCGCGAGGAGGAGAGTCTGGCTGAAAAGTGTTTATTATTATTATGGTTTTGTTGTTGATAGTGTTATAGTGTTCGTGCTTGTATTGGTTGAGCGTTAGCATTGGTGAGACTAGGGATATAGAATGGCGGTCACTGGTGCTGCGCGTGGACGGCAGTGTGCCGAACTCTCCCGAACTCAGCAACGGGAGTCCGGTGAGTCCGGTGAGCATTTTCACAGCCCACCCGAGCCGCAGCAGTTGCAGCACCCCTCAGCCAATGGCCAGGGAAAGTAAGTGGCCCGGGGGGGACCGGCGTTGCTGGTCGCGGGGGTGCGCGCCCCTCCGTGGACTGGCTGCGTCTGTGGTCCCTCCGATCGGGCACAGTCGACAAGACACTACTCGCGCGGACGCGCGTGGCAGTCGACGACATGCGCTGCGCCTGGCGGCGCAGGTTGGAGGCAGCGCCGCGGCGGGTGGTCGCGCGGCGGTGCAGCTTGGGTGGCGACTCGTCGGCGGTCGTCATGCCGACGGCCGATGCCGCGTGCGCGCGC